TCAGCTGGAACAAGAGTAACTGCTCTTGCTGGACCTGTGTCCAGGCAGGTGGATGCAGAATCTCCCACCACCAAAGCCAAGCTGAGACAAGCATCCCTAACCCCAAAGCCTAGATAAAAACAGCTCACAGGAGCTCACCTGCCCTGCCACACTCACACTCAGGCCTTTTAAGACCTTAGTTGCAAGCAGGGAAGCTCCAAAGTCTCCTTTCACAGGGCAGGCCACCCATAGCTGACTGTCCTAGCTGGCACCAAGAAAACACTTGCTCCATCTCTCCCAACAAACCTCATCCTACTTGTCCTCCTTCCTCTCCACTTCCCCTCCAGGCACCACAGATGTAGGCTAGATGTTTCTCCCAGCCTTCACCCCTGATGTTCCCATTACAGTAGGACCTCTCATTCCTTTAGGAACCATGCAAAAAAAAAATAATCCACTTACAGACACCTTGTTGCCCCAGCCTGGTTCAGGTTTTCCTGGAGGATTGCAATGGAACTAGAGCTCAAGCAAGGACTTCTTGTAATTAGTGTAACTGCCACCCAGGGCAAGGAAGGGAGGTTCAAGCCTGGCACACCTCCAGCTCCTCAGCAAATTGTCTCACACCAACAATTAGTTCCCAGCTGACAAGAGCTGTTCTTCACATCCTCAAGGCAGCTCCTTCACCTGCCTGGATAAAACAGCTCCAGCAGCCTTGCAGAAAGGGCTTAAGCAAGAGGAGGCTCCAGGGGAGTCCTCCAGAGACTCCCTGCTACTGCCATTACAAGGAGTCCTTGACATGCTGATCTCTCCAATTGATTTGCAGACAAACCAGGCTTGCCAGGACAGCTGTTTTCAGCAGCTACAAAACAAAACAAGCCTCAGTGCTATGAGAAACACCACTGGCACACTTTTAAACCTGCAGTTCCAGCCAGTGTCTTCCTACTACCACAGCAGAAGGCCAACTTGTACTTACAGCTGAAGCTGCAAGGGAATCTTTAACATGAGAAGGAGAAGTCCCACAGCAAGTGTCAATCATCACCAGCCTCCAGCTACAGCTTTAGGTTGCTAACTAGAACCTGTAACACATTTGCCCCCAAAGAAACAGCAACACTGCTGCAAAACAGAGGTGGAACCAGCAAGGCTCAATGTCACAGCAGGGAAATCACTGCCAGGGGCTGTGGGAGGAGGCACATTCCCACCTGCATCCCAGGTTTCCACCCTCCCTCGGCTCATCCCAGCACGTGTTGCACCAAGAGCACCCCTGGGGATGTTGTCTGCTGTCACAGATCTATGAGCACCACATTAACTGCTTGTCCTGACTCTCCCCCCATCCCAGCCTGCCTCAACCTCCTCACCTCAGGAGTTGTGCAAGTGGCTGAAGCAAACAATTCCCCGAATGGCATTTTCAGTTTCTCTTTCAGAGAAAAAAATCACTTACTGGAACCAAAACTGTTCCTCTACAGCACTGCTGAGGCAGGTGCTTGAAACACCTCTTCCTGCAGCATCCACAGCCTCCAGCCTCCCCCACGGGCCCTGCTCAAGTCACAACCAATCCCAGAAATTCCCATCCAGAAAGCGAGACCCAGGAAGGAGCTTTGCTGCTTTTCTGAGGGAGAGCAGCAGGTTTGCCAGGGTGAAGTGACAGGCAGATGCTCTGACAAGCTTCATTAGAAATAAAAAGCCCCTTTGGGGGGTCACTTCTCACCTCTCCCCAGAAGGAACAGCACCCAGCCCCTCAGGATTGTTGCTGCCCCTGCCACATGGGCTGACCTTGGCTCTGCTCCACCAGAGTTTTCCTGCAGCCAGCAGACAGCACAAGTATTTTGTCTGCTTCCAAACACTCCATGGCACTTTGCAGAGGGATTATTCCCAGTTTAAGGCACTACCTTGGCACTCTCCCAGCACGGGCACTGCTGCTGGCCACGGAGCAAGCAAGGAATTCACTGCCCAGCACTTTTACCTTCTCATTAAGCACCTCCTGCTACCAGGAAACCGGGCAGGACTTTCGTTTTCTTCCTCTCATTTTTCCCCACCCTCCCCCCCTCTTAAATAACACCCTCAAGTTCACAGTGACAACAGGGCTGCTCCAGCATGACTTGGCAGAAAACACCAGGGATGTTTGTGGAAGGAACCAGTGTGGAGGCAACAGGGTGGGCATAAACCCTATGCCTCAGGGTTGGGGGGGAAGGAACCCACAGTGCTCAAACCTACCAGCCAGTTCCAGCAAGCACAGACCCAGCAGGAAAGCATGGGAGGGGAAAAGCCAATAATATTTCCTTGGAGGGCAAGACCTCCAGTGCCTCAAAGCAGGGGCACTTCCTCTCCTCTCTCTCTACTCTCTCAGGGAGTCCTGCAGTGGAAAGAGGAAAAATTAGAGCATCTGCTCTAGTGGGAGGTGTCCCTGCCCATGCAGAGAGCTGGATCTAGATGATCTTGAAGGTCCTTTCCAACCCAAACCATTCTGTGATCTGCTTGCAGCCTTCCCTGAGGGGAACACAGAGGATCTGGCAGCACCAGCAAGAGATTATTGAGGCTGTTTGGCTTTTCCCAAACTTCTTTTCTTTTTTTGAAGCCACCCAACCTTGTTTTCTTTTTGAAGCCACCAGAACAGCGTGCTGGTAGGGCAGAGGGAGGAAATCCCCTCCATGATGCTTCCTACCACATTGGTGATGCTGCAGAGTCTTCCCTCGACAGTCTCAAGAGCTCGTTAGTGTCCAGCAGCTCATTAAATCTCCAGCAGCTCATCAGTATCCAAACCTGATCACATCTGCTACCCCCCTACCCTGACTAAAGCCACTGCTCCCCACTGGGCTGGGGCCACACTGAAGATCAAGCTCACCCATCCTGGTGGGCAGAGGGACAGACCATCCCTGTCCCACCAGCTTTCTCCCTCCTGGGCTGGGAATTCCAACCCTACAGGAGGGAAAAGCTGCCCTGGGGGGGTGGTGTGGAAGGTGGGGGAGCTCCTTCTCCAGCAGCAGCACAAGGACTTTGCTTGCAGGAGCAGCAAGGCCCTGGGCACACCTCTGCACCACGGGTTGTGCAAAGTTGGCCAGGAGGGCAGCACCCGAGAGGCTGTGGGGAAGGGTCTGGGGT